GGATTGCCCAAAAAAAAGGTTTAGGTTGATGATGAAACTGAGGCGCCTAATGTTTTTTTTTTATGTATTATACAATAAATACAGATTTAGTACAGATGTCATAATATATGCAATAAGCAGGGCTTAAAGTGTTTTATCACCTGACAGATTTTCATTATTTTGAACAGATTTCCATCACCTGAAAGTACAAAATAAATAAATAAAAATCTCTGACTGTTAAGTTCTCAGGTTCTATAGCGGTCTTATTGAAGCCGCTCAGTCTAATGATACAGGATTGAACAGACACTGTGTTTCAACAAACCAAACAAACCCCAGGTCCATAGTTTTAACCAATCAGAGCAGAGCTAGGTGAGGTGCAGCAGAGACAGTCTGTAGATGAAGCACCGATCAGTYCACAGCCCCTGTCCTRCATTCAATTCAATTCAAATTCAATTCAAAAATACTTTATTGATCCCAGAGGGAAATTTGGTAAATGAGCAGACCTCTCCTCCTGCACTTCACTCCCGAGCTACCCAAAACTTTGGTATCCAACCTAACTTCATATAAAATGTTTTATGTGTTTGGAACCTTGTTATCAAACATATACTGTACTGTATGTCCAAACTCCTCTATTCATGAGAGAGCGCTGCCACAGTGCACACAGGCTGCGAGTCTTTCTGTGAGATTTGCTGTTTTAGTTCTTATTGTGTATTTGCTAACATAACGATAATGTGACAAAACTGCTCTGTGATAAATATAGTTCAATAAATGCTCAAACATGAAGAATAAATATTATGAGATGACAACAATGGCTAAAACCATTTAAATAAAATAGTCATTTTAAAAATAAATAAGTCTAACATTAAAATTATGGTTTTATGTCAAATTATGGAGATGGTAAAATATTTGTATGACTATATACTATATATATTATATACTCAATATCTACCAAAAAAGTTTAAAAAACTAAAATGACAATAAATTAAAGATATGCACACAGTGTATATTGTTAGGTGAATAATGTACATGCCCGTAGTCAAAGTACACATGATAGCCATAGCAGTATACTGTACTATGTACTTGTGCACGTGGGTGTATGGGTGGGCACGTTTTTGATACATTTCACAGAAGAAGCAGCCTCGTGGGGACCAAATGCGCATGGTGCGAACCAATGCCCAATCTTCACAAGTACAGTTGCTAATTCAGGG